CTCTACATTCGGCTTTTGGGGACATAAGGCAGGCCCGACCCACGTCTATGGTATTTGCTTCCATTTGGCACCCTCGGATACCTTTGAAAGTTTCATTTTTCATGTTGAGATTACTTCTGAGGAGAATACCGACACCAGATAAGCTTCGTAAATTTGGTTTCCATTTACCGTCAAAGTGCTTTTGCTGTACTGAGGCTTCTGAGGAGTCTATTGAGCATTTATTCTCCAATGGACACATTGCGTCATTACTTTGGGATTATTTTGGAAGGTTATGTGGAATAAAATTCTCAGGATCTTTTCTACGAGCACGCATAGTAGATTGGTGGTTGTACTCACAGGATTCTGAGTTACGAAGGCTTATTTGCCGTATTCTTCCTAGTGTAATTTGCTGGCAGATTTGGAAGGCAAGGAATAAAGCAATGTTTGAGGGTGTCCAGATGCAATCATCGGCTATTCACCAAGCCATCTTCTCGGAAATCCCATCCATGGTAGGAATACATTTTAAACAACTGATAAGACTACAATCCTTTTGTCAGTTGTATGCTTGGTCAAAGGCACCTGGGGGTACGGTTGTATATCAAGGTATCCGCTGGGAAACAAAAGAGACAGGGAGGTATACTCTTAACATGGATGGATGTCCTAAGGGTAATCCAGGAATAGGTGGAGGTGGGGGCATACTCCGGGATTCCACTGGTTTACCAATGATTGGTTTTTCAGCATATATGGGAGAAACTACATGTCTCCGTGCAGAGGCTTGTGCCCTTCTTATTGGTCTTCAGATCTGTATACATAACGGTTTTGGAAACATATGTGTACAGTCAGATTAATTGGTTTTAATTGGGATCATCCAACGTCGTACTCAGTGTCCGTGGAAAATTCGAAGATACGTCAACCAGATTTGGCAGTTATTAGATGATCCACCTAGATTCACGCACTGCTATCGAGAGGCTAACACAGTTGCTAATGCTTTGTCTAATGTGGGTATATCTCATCCAGATAAACAAATTAAGGTTTATGACTCCTTCAGTACATTCCCAAGGTTGGCTCGTGGGGCAATCCGTTTGGACAGAATAGGGATACCTTCAATTAGAAAAATGAGGAATATGTAAGAGGAATATTTTGTTATATTTTCCATGAATAAATAAAAACATATATAATTAAAAAAAATTATTAGAGTCAAATTATAGTAGTTTTATTATATAGGATTTGGTATTTTATAATTAGGTAATTCATTATGGTTGTCAAAACTTATTTACCAAAACATCTAGTCTATAAATAGGAAATCTTGTTATTGTCATCAGTTGAAAAGTGTGAAATTCAATAGGCTTGTTATTATAGTGTGCAATTAATAGATTATTATTAGTATTAATCCTCTTCTCCTACATATACTCTTATGTGTGTAAATTGCCTTCTATATACATTGATTTTATGAAATTTATCTCCTATAGATTTTTTATGGCATTTTCTTTAATTCTACATTGCCATTGGCGGACCCAGAGGTTAAATTTAGGGAAGCAAGACAAGCGGAGACGCATGCTTAAGGGGGCACTCTAAGTTTTTTGGAAAAAAAACTTGTGAGTAAAGTTTAACTCTAATATCCAAAAAACTTGTGAGTAAAGTTTAACTCTAATATTTTTGTTAAAAAAAAACTTGTAAGTAAAGATATATATTTGGAGACGCATGCTTAAGGGGGCACTCTAAGTTTTTTGGAAAAAAACTTGTGAGTAAAGTTTAACTCTAATATCCAAAAAACTTGTGAGTAAAGTTTAACTCTAATATTTTTGTTAAAAAAAAACTTGTAAGTAAAGATATATATTTGGATAGGTTCCAGTCCAAACCAACTTGCTAGCTCTTGAGGTTTAAATAAGTGTAAATAAATTTAGATAGGATGTAAATAAGTAGGATTGTGGTGGGGGGAGGGGGAGAGGAGGGTTGAGTTGGGAGGCAAAGTAGGAGTGTAAATAGGAAGTTTAAAATTCAAAATCTCTAGTTTACCAAAAAAAAAAAAAAAAAATAGGACTGTGGTGTAAAAAAATAAAAGGAAATTTCACCATTTTGATCCCCAAACTTTTTCACTAAAATCAATTTCATTCTTCATGGTTTATTTTAATTAAGTTAGTCTTCAAACTAATTTTTCACTTTCAATATGGGACTTTTGCAGCTGTGCCACCACATTTACGTATTCCGCATGGCCGGACGGGGGCATGATTGGGCACAATTGCCACACGGGACTAAACTTCTACAATCAACAGATTTAGTGTTCATATCCTACCAAAATGGTGAAAATTCATATCCTTTTTGCTTCTTTATTGATGGCAAATTATTTTATGCTTCACCAAACAATTATACCACCGCAGATCTATCTACTCTTCTTGAATTCAATAGCAACATTTCATTTCAATTTCCCTCAAATTTTATCAGATTATTTCTCTTCTTCTACATCAATGGTGTCTTCACTCTCAAGAACACTTTGTTGTAGACTTCTTCTCACCATCCCCAGATTAATGCCTCCAACTTTCTCTTATTCCTTCAGCTCAAAAAGCCTTTCTTCGGCCGGCACCTACTCAGAATCGAATGAACCCTCCGCTCTCAATTTTTTTATCTTTTTCTTCGTCAAACTCAACTAAGCAATAACACATCATTTAGACTCGTCCCCTCAAAAATGGGTTGGATATTGGCGTTCACAAGGTCCAATTTTTGCTGAACATTTTTGAAATTTTCTTTTTCTTTTTTTGGAATTTGTTGTTATGGTAATAATTATTAGAATAAAGTTTCAAAGTTTAATTTTTTTTCACATTTTGACGGTGACCTTCTCTTCTGTTTTCTATAATGTGTAAAAATTGCTGTGTGTTTTTTAGTGGGAAAACTAAACTTGGGCATGTGTCAGTGTCCTACAATCAATTCAATGGCTGAATTCAAAGGACACTTGGATAATTGATCAAGTTCAAGGAATTATTTATTGGGGGAAATATTACACTACATTTTACACATTTCTTGAGGTTGAGCATAATTTTCATACGGGACTAAATTTATAAAAATAACACATTCCCAAGGGAAATGGAGTTCATACCTATGATTGAAGGTGAAAAATTAGTTTGAGGATTAAATTGGTTAAAATGAATTAGTTTGAGGACACTGAAAGCGCTGTGCACTCGTCTTGCCCACAGAGTGTCCTCCTTAGCACAAACATTCTAATGAGCAAGTATTTAATGATTGACTGAGTCGACTAACCAAAAACAACAGTATTATCCTTCCAATAAATTATGCAAGTTAAAAGAAATGAAAATTTTCACTTTAAGAAAATATAACAAACCTAATATTTGCCTTATAGTTGTAGAATTTTGCTAACTTTAATATATTGTTATCATTATTATTCAGCCTGAAGTCATAACTGAAAGTGATATATACGAAGACAAAGATTAATTCAACATGAATAATAAAAGATTTTAGGGAAAATAAGACAATATTTTTGGGTAGTCAATACCCAAAAATTGAAATAAAAAAAATTAACCTTACATTTTTTAGATTAAAAGGATGCCAAAAAATTGAAATAGAAAATTGACCTTACATTTTTTACTTTTATTTCTTTGTTTGCTTTTTTTAGGTAAAACAATACAGGAATTATTATTTACTTTTATCTTTTTTGTCTTCTTTGTATGGTCAAAATTATCATATACTGTACAATATTAAATATACAAAAGAAATTAAATTGATAAAAGAAAAAGAACTCTCTTTCGTTTATTTTCTTAAAATCTCTTCTTATTTTTGTTGGGTTAATGATTAATGTCATGCATATTTGATTTTATTATACTTTAAATTGAATGATGATGATGCTAACGATAATAATAATGATTAATAAATTTAGCAAATTTCTACTTTGCTTGTTATTTGGTAAGAGCAAGTCCTCCTTTTAGGTTTATGTAAACCGTCAGACAGATAATATTTTCCATTCTACAGACTAATATGTCTCATATTCACACTTAGAGGAGGAAAACAAATATGGCATCAAACCTCAAGGGTTAACATACTTAATTTTGGCTTGGAGGGACGAGTTAGAACCAAACTTTCAAATTAAGGGACCTAATACGCAGTTCTAAATGTTAAAGTTCAAAATAGGATCACTGATTAAAGTTGAAGTACTGTTGGAGTCATTTACCTGAACCATTATTTTGCCCTTTAAAATCGTCGTGTTAATCCGAGGCTGAAATTCATTGTAATCTACCTTTCTTTTATACTTGAGAATAGCACAATGTTCAACCTGTCATACTCAGTTAATTAGATTTCAGGCATTTGTGCTATGGTTTGAGAGAGTGAGCGGTCGTAAAACAAAGTAAACATAGTTGAAAATATGTAGAGTGAGCGATCTTTCTGTAGCTTTTGACATCACTTTATGTATGGCTTGACAAATTATTGGACAAACAGATACGTAAGTGAGGGTCTTTTTGAAAATATATGCACTGGTTTGTTTAAGTATACCCAAAAGAAAGGAAAGAAAAAGAAAAAGAGAAATTTGATAATGATTTACTGATTTACAGATAAAACCAACCAAAAACTAAGATTGACTTTGTTGTCAATTTGAAATACTAAAACTACTCATTTTTTTGGTGAAAACTTGCAAAATTGACTTCAAAAGTGCCATCACCTCAAAAGTGCTCAAAAAAGAGACATAAAATCACAAACTCATATGCTTATATTGAACTAGATAGCCAGCAAACACATGGAGTGCATATTACATGATCACTGATCCAACACTTATTTGAATCACACATTACAAAGTACATACTATTATAGCAAGCCTGTTTAAGCATTCATGATTAATCACGACCTAGCTAGAAGCCGGCTTTATTAGTTCTGAGGCTCAGCATCTGCGGCCTCACCAGGATGTCCACCATGGCCGCCACCACCATGATGCCCTCCATGTCCATAACCACCATGGCTGCCTCCGTGGCTGCCTCCGCCATGATGCCCGCCACCGCCATGACCACCATGGCCGCCACCGCGATCCCCATTACCTTCTCCTGGATGGCCCCCGTATCCACCACCAGGATGCCCTCCATGACCTCCTCCATGGTGATCTCCATATCCTCCATGGTACTTGGCTTCTACTTCCTGATTTGTCTCAACTGTCTTGGCTGCAATAAAGATAAATAGGGTATGGGCGTTAGTTACTGTAATCGCAATTTTGAAAATGTAAGGTCTGGACCAAATTGTGTACATGCTTTTAGGTTACCGAGTATTTTAGCAAAACACATCGTAATCCTTTTGAAAATTTGCCTTTTAACGTATGTGTCAAATTATTATTTTACAGATATCTTTAAAATGGCTCATTACTACCAACTAATAGCTATTTTATCATAGTTTCTGAAAGTTAATAAATATAAAGATTTGTTAACAGTATGTTCAAAATGAGAATCTTAAATCCATATTTTATGCACCGAGACGCACCATTACCATTATAAAATATAGTTTTACTCTAAAAATACAGGAAGAGTAATCCAGTCACAAACGACTATACTCCCAACTCCCACGTTTGGAAAGGCTTGACACTTAGAATCCAGTAACTGAAAGTGGAGGTGTGTTCAATCTTTTTAACCACAGCTCAGCCATGTTTCTTAGCACTCCGACACTTCACGTGTACAACAAAAATCTATTTTTGTTTTTTTAAGGGCAACAAAAATCTATCTGAAACGTTAAACGCTGTGGTCCTAAATACTGAATTAAAACATGGCGCATATAAATTAGAAAGAGAAAAAATAATGAAATGTGAATTGGAGAATAAATGTCTTACAATCGTCAACTGACTTGGCAGCCACCTCTGAGGTAATCATTAGAACTACAGCCATGGAAATGCAAAAGAAAAGAAGTGTCTTGGAACCCATTTTTGCTCAAGGAAAATTTGTGTACTGAAGACTGACTTTGAGAAGGAGGAGGAAGCAAGCGTAGATTGATGTCTATTTATAGGAAAACCTATGCCACATTCCCATCGAAAGGGTCGCAGAGTCGGCCCACCGTGTAGCAGGTGTGGATTGATGACTGTTGAAGAGATGGTTGTCGTGCTAGGTAGAGAGTCCATAAAAGCGTAAACAAATAGAAAGATGTACGGAGAAGCATTTGTTCTAATTTCTACATGTCTTTAAGGCAAATGGATCTTCGAGGACTATGGAGATGATAAGGTTCATGTCTCTCATATTCAACAGTATGTCCAAGTAGTGTTGATGATTTGGACTCTGCACCGACTTGGATGGATTAAATGTTTTCCAATTTGATTGACGTGCCAAATATTTTATAAGAAGAAAAGAAACAAGGAAGAACACGTCAAACTTTGCAATAGTTCAAAGATAAGCATGATTAGAATTATGTAACATTTTATTTACATCACAAGATACAATAATATCTTTTATTATGTATGTTAAAAACCTGTAAGTTGTAAATATAAGATATGGTCTCGCCCTTTTGATCCAACGATTTGCGAAGATGAATATTTTGAAGAAGAGCAGAAGTAGTTTTATGAACCCGAACAGTCATCGTATATATGGCTATGTTTTCCAAATAAGGAGACACAACATTAGTAAAATTTTGCCTCCAAGTAAATGAAGGATAATATAAACACATAAAAGGTGGAATCTCAACCCCGCCTCGTAAGGATGGTTATGATTACTGTTCTGGAACCTCTAGTTTTGGTTTGATTTTAGTTCCGATTCTTTTTCTAGATATGGTTCTAGGTTCTTGCAGTTATCATTCTAGATCTTCTAATTGCACTTAAATGCTTATTGTTTCACCATTGAATTTGAGAAAATATAGCAATGAATCTGGAAGAAATATAAGACTTTTATTATATTATTAGCTGAAAAAAAATCATACAAATTATACGCAAAAATACCTCGAAACTAATTGGTTGTTTTAAATAAAATAAAAAGCTGCATGACCTGGTCATTGATATTGAAATATAAAAAGAAAAATATCTCGATTAGACAATTATACAATTTACAATTAGTTGAGCTTTCAAATTTGGACTTTAGGCTAGGCCAAAATAAGCCTAGGGGCTAGTGTTGAGTTTTCTGCTTAAATAAATTTGGATGGTTCAAACCGACTCTTGAACTTGCAGTTTTGGCTTTGGTTTTAATATTTTTATGAACCCAAACGGGAACATTTAGTCCAGGTTCTGGCCCCCGTTCTGGTATAACAAGTCCAATTTCAGTTTTGAATTCGTCAAACCGCTAGTGTGATTTTAGTTAGGCTATGATTTAAGCCTAATGTTAGAATTCAAGCGCGGAACAAATAACTATTGAGATATTAAGTATACAATAATTTAATGATAAACAAGTCACAAGCATGAAAAATAGACGACACACAATATTTAACATGGTTCGGCACCACCATTGAACCTACATACATGGAAAGAAACCCGTTCTTTATTATGAGAGGAAAATCTTATACAAGAATACAACTTGAATTCAAGTCCAACCCTTGTATACCATCTCTCATTTCCCAAGAACCCTCTCTTACCCCATGTATAAGATTACATGTCGCCTCTTGTGTGCTCTTATGTATCTTGTATAGTATATCAATTCACCTATTTATAAGGAAAATTATTTAGCCAAAATCCAAATAACAATAGGAAATTAATTCTAATTCTTAGACTTGTATAGAATATGAAATAACTTCTAATCCTAGACTGAATAGAATGTTTTTTGGCTACTATTTCAAGTAATTAAAACCAATTAGGAAACTAGTTATTTCCACACAAAACAAAAAATCTACTTAAAAGAAATTAAGCCAATTTCATAACACCTAAGTTACGATGACTCTTTAATCTCATCCCTCTCCCACTTAGAGAAGAAAAGTGAAAAAAAAAGGAACAAGCAAGCATCTATCATGCATTTGTCAATCTATTACGCTTTCCTTCAAAATAGAGGCATTTATATTTATAGGAAACGTGCATCTTTAGAAGTATGCATTTTCACTTTTCCTCCAAGGGTAAATTCTGTAGTGTATTCAACTAATACAAGACAGGTGTGGAAAGATAAAGAATATGGCAAAGAAGCAAACACGTTGCAAGCTGACATGTACGGAGGATGAAGGGAATATTTGTAAAAAATCAAGTGTCACCTATAACAGGAGCAGGCGGTTTAGAAATTTATTTATCGGATAAAATAAATTTAAACACATTGTTGAACAAAAGACCAGCTCTTTATGACTTTCGTCCATTATACTTACAGAGTACCCATTTTCCTTAAATACTAATTTATTTGTTGGATAATATAAAAATAAACCCGTTGTTGAATAAAAGAGCCCCACTTTACAAAGCTTTCATTCATTATAAGAATAGAGTACCCATTTTTCTTAAACAAAAATTTAGTTATCAGATATAATAAAAATTAACTCGTTGTTGAATAAAAAATCAATTTTTTATGGTTTTCCTCCATTACAACAACATAGTACCCAAGGTGCCTTAAATAGAAATTTATTTATCGGATAAAATAAAAATAAATTTGTTGTTGAATAAAAGATCAGCTCTTTATACCTTTCGTTCATTATACTCACAGAATACCCAAGGTGCTTTAAATAGAAATTTATTTATCGAATAAAATAAATTTAAATCCATTATTGCATAAAAGACCAGCTCTTTATGACTTTCGTCCATTATACTCACAGAGTACCCATTTTCCTTAAATACTAATTTATTTGTCGGATAACATAAAAATAAACCCGTCCCCACTTTTCCAAGCTTTTGTCCATTATAAGAATAGAGTATCCATTTTTCTTAAACAAAAATTTAGTTATCGAATATAATAAAAATTAACTTGTTGTTAAATAAAAAACAAGTTCTTTATGGCTTTCCTCCATTACAACAACATAGTACCCAAGGTGCCTTAAATAGAAATTTATTTATCGGGTAAAATAAAAATAAATCCAGTTGAATAAAAGACCAGCTCTTTATGCTTTTCGTCCATTATACTCACATAGTACCCAAGGTGCCTTAAATAGGAATTTACTTGTCGGTTAAAAATAAATTTAAACCCATTGTTAATAAAATACCAACTCTTTATGACTTTCGTTCATTATACTCACACAGTGCCCATTTTCCTTAAATTCTAATTTATTTATCGGATAACATAAAAATAAACCCGTTGTTGAATAAAAGAGCCCCACATTTCACATTTTCAGTTGGAATCCCCTCAAGTTTTCCTATCCCCTTTCTACTTAACTGCAACGCCCAATAGGTCTTCAGGTTCCAGGCCACAAAAGACCTTCTTCAGGTTCCAGGCCACAAAAGACCTTTACACGTGCCCATCTAACACATTTTCCCTACCATTTGTGGCCACAATTACTTACACCTCCTGTTCGCTCACCTTTCCACACCTTTTCTTTGACTAATAAACATATCGCAGCAACATCCCCGAGATGCAAATATGGTTTTCCGCCATTTAATACCTAAGGATACGTTGAGTCATTATGCCCGCACGGCTTTGCCTACAATTTAATGATCGACCAGCTTCGCCTACAAGTTACGATTTTTTATTGTCTTCGTGCCTGGTGTTGTATAAAGAATGGTACAACTGTGGTGAAAGTTATCAGTGTCGGTAGGAAAGAGCCAAACAGCTTGCGATTTCAATCCTAAATGGAGGTCAGAGTTTTCAGGTGTCATATGAGAAAGTGAATCATTTGGTTGCCCAATATTTTTTTTCCAGAGATATATTTTTTTGGTGTCAAATGATTGGCTGGCCAATCATTTGGTTGCCCAATATATTTGGTTGCCCAATCATCTGGTTGCCCAATAATTTGGTTGCCCAATATTTGCAACAAACGACTATTAAGGGTTTTCTTTTCTATTCTCTTTTTTTTTTCACAGAATAAGTGAGAGGATTCGATAGCTCTCTTACTTACACTCAATCCTTGCGAATTATCTAATCTATCTCTCCTCCAAACAAGGCTGAATTCGTATTTGTATATTACCCATTTGTAGTCCTTGTAATCTTGAATCCAATAAAATTTTTATAGCAAGTGATGTTTTTATATTACCCATTTTAGCTCCATAGTAAATTGCTTTCAAATGGCATCTGCATCCTTCACTCGTCCAAGGTTGGATTCATTTTGAAAAAGTTGAGATTGTTACCTAAATAGAAATTTGTTGTGGCAATAAATTTTTTTTGAGGGCAATAAATTAAGTGTTGTACCGCTACCACTAGCCAGTTTCCTCGAACACCATAATTTCAAAACTAATCCGCATTAACATGTTGCATTTAAGAAATTCCTACCTTCTTGTTGCTTTATGCTTCTTTTGCCATAAGAAGCCCTTCGTGTTCAGCTCAAGACTATAAATTTTATCGAAGAATGATACTCTCTACCACTGATTAAAAGAAGAAGCATCACAGATTTAGCCTTAATGGTCATCAATAAAAAAAATATATTATATATGAATAGCAGTGGCTAACCAGAGGTCAGGATTTGGTGGGGCAAGACTAGTGGAGATGCGTGCTTGACGGGGCAATCTATATTTTTGTAAAGGGAAAAATGCAGTTTTGATTTTCAATGTTTTGACCATCTATCAGACCGGTCTATTATGTTTCAATCATAACAAATTTGGTCTCCAAAATTATGGATTTTATACAAATTTAGGAAAACTAATAGAAAATCACAATAACTAATGATCAAATTCCAATTAGCAATAGTGAAAAGTTTTGACATTATATTTTTAGTCCCCAAGGTTCGAAGTTTTGATCAATATACTCTCTTGGGATTTAAATAATAAGCATGGTTATGGTTCCAAAATGAAATTAAACATATGACAAATGTTTTCCCAAATCTAAAAATCTCTAAAAGCACTTCACATCGGCATACTATTATCTTTAGCCGAAAGAGTAACTCTAGTTAGAATTGAAAAGCTATACACAAATAATATACAAAA